TCTTCTAACAGGGCGATGTGGGAAAATCTCCATTTAAATAAAACTATTTCTGTCAAGCATAAAGTTTCCTGTTTCTCCTAAGAGATGATATAGGATTAAGTTTAATCTAAATGCTTTTGTTGAAGTTGAACTAGTTGAATGAGACAATTCTTAGCAGGGTAGACGACTACCTTGCTCAGAAGCAAGACAAATCCTGTTTTTCCAACTTTCCTAGAGGACTTCCTAACTCTGGTCTAACCACATGATTAGGTTAGTGTCTGATTGTCAACAGTCTTTTGCGTTGTCTGTCAAAACACGGATGAATCAAACTTTGTTGACTTTACTGTGACTGTATTTCACGTCACTGTAGAGCAATGTTTTTGCACACTAATACTTTTTATTGCTTTATCAGCAGCTCCTGCTCTTTATTTCTATTTCATTGTGCTCTGGATCAGTAAAATATCAATCTAACTCACTTTTGGAAGCAGGGATTGCTCTTAATGTCTCTATTAAGTTTGATGGAAGCAAACTGATTTAAACTTCAGATTTTCTGGTTATTCAACTCATAAATCGTAACCCGGCTTCCACACAAACTAATGTTGTCTTTTAACTTCATGTTCTTTAGTCTTTTAGATTCTTCCTTTGGATCAAATACACAGAAAAAGTGAATTTGAACAGCCTTTAAACACCTGAAGATACTTTAAAATTATTTAAATGGACTGATAAATCCAAATACATGACACCAACCAGGGCTCCACACTAACTTGTTTCCACGGTTGCACTGGTGCCAGCACAAAAGTTAGGCGCACCCACATTTTTCAACTGCATCACTTAACACCGCAGTTTTACATGTGCATTTTTTTTGTGGGGGGGGGAATTGATGTCCATACAGACAATATTGATTTGTAAATGATTAACTAACAATGTTGTGCTTGTGCTTAAAGTTCTTTGGCAATATTGTAGACAACATTAAACTTAATCATCTCGGCCTCCTCTGATGACCTGTTTGCTGCTGGCTGCCGCTGAAAGGCAGTGGGGAGAGGGGACACTTGGGACGTGCATTTATCACGACATATGTGATAAATAATAAAAAAAACAAAACAATGTGTTTTCTGGATACATTTTTCAACGTTCAGAGGTTGATGGCTCTGTGTCAGAGCACTGGCTATGAATTTCACATGGATCAGGCCTTAATAAAAAATGTATCAATAGTTCTTTTCATCTTTTCTCATTACCCACAGCTACATCCACTTCTGTCAGGCCTAGGCTGCTCACTAGGGCTGGGTATCATCACTGATTTCTATAATCCATTTGATTCCAATTCACGAGGTCCCAATTCGATTCGACTCATTTTTGCCTCAGACAGTCAGAAATATTATAATTCTGATCATTTATCAGTACTGATACTGTGAGACTTTATCAGAGGTGTGAGCATCACAGCAGATGCCTTTGTGTCAAAGTAACTGAGAATAAAACACAGAAAAACATGAAGGAGATTTTGCTGGCCTGGCTTCTCATAGCAGATAACCTTAAAAATATTCTGCAACTTTACATAATTTAAA